AGAAGAAGTTCTCTTCTTCATAAGAGAAAAAGAGAGAAGTTTGTTCTAGCTTTTCTATATTAATGTAAAAGAGTGTGTAGTTTCTTTCTTTTTATTAATGGAGAGGGATCCAAGAAGGGAAAAAAAAAAGTTGGGCTTCTTTATTATCTACTTCCCCTCTACTGTATTTAATATTCTGTTTGCTGCTTCTTAGCATAATAATATAATCCTGATGTATTTGTCTTTTTCTAGTTACTGCTCTCTGGTGTAACGTATTCATATTGAATTCTAACTAATTTAGATTTGTGTTGCGTATGACATTTTTTAAAATACTTAATTTGCTCATATCCAAGCATTAATTTGTATAAATCGCGGCAATTTGTATAAATCGAGCGTCTGTGTCTATGAAAATTGTGTTGGTATAAGTATATTTTCTTTGTGTTAGGCTAGAGACTAGAGTGGCGAGCGAGATTAGGAGGGAGAGGCGAGCGAGAGAGGGCAGAGAGTGGAGAGAAGTGAATTGTATATGTATATCGGTTATATAATTGTATAATTAATGTAACTATTGTGTATATGTATCAATGATTGTGTTTGTATATATGCATAAAATTTGAAGTATACAATTGAATCATAATCCTGATGTATTTGTCTTTTTCTAGTTACTGCTCTATGGTGTAACGTATCCATATTGAAGTCTGACTAATTTAGATTTTTGTTGTGTATGATATGTTAAAGGAAAACGTGTTCCTTGTCACAAATTTCTTTACTCAAAATATGAGACCTTTGATTAAGGTAGAATAATTCTATTCATCACATTGTGTTGTGTAAGGCTCATTAAAAAGGGATGTGCTTTCTACCGGAACCTTTTTCATATTTAGAAGCTTAGAAGCTGAGACTTTTGATTAAGGGAAGCAGGAATTAATCCATATTTAGAAGCTGAGACTTTTGATTAAGGAAGCATCACGTAAAACCTATTAAAAGGGGGGAAAACTCTCTACTTAAACTTTTTCCATAACTAGAATGAGAACTTGAGATATTTTTTTTCCTATTCGGTATCTGATACTCACATTGGAGTTTGACTAAATCTGAATTCGCGTTTGAAGGTTCAATATTGAGGTAGAACGCTCCCTAACAAACACGATTTCATACCCAAAAAGACTCAAACCCAAAATCTATGATTAACGATGTAAAAATACTTACTACTCCACTACTACTCGAGATTGATAATTAAAAATGAAGGAATCTTATTCTATCACATATAATTTTTGATGGTATACATAGATTTGTCTACTTTTTTTTTGTCTTTGATGTATATCTTGATTAATCTATACTTAATCAAATTGATTTTTCCCTTCTAATCTCAACCATTAATTTAATTAGATTTGACTTTGGCAAGACCGAGTGAATTGATAGTTGATCAACCATAGTGGAGTCTACACTATGAAGTGACTTAAATGTACATATTCAATTTTAAAAATATTGACTACCGGTTTAAGTTATTTCGTTTTAAAGAAAATTGCATTAAATTTAACACATATAGTATATACACACACTAAAGGCACCTTCAATTTTATATTTCTTTCCACATTTTTTTGTTTCTTTAATAAAAATCACTTTAAAACACTTTCATAGGCAGATTCATAGTACCTAACGTGCAATTTAATTTGTTACATTTTGGTCTATCTTCTTATTTTTCAAATAACTAGTTTCACTTAATGTGAAATGTTACTATATCTAGTTCTTTCTTAGGAGTATGATATTATGAAGTTTTTCTACGTTATTTTCTTAATCACTTACTCATGTACTCTTTGCTGGAAGGGTTAAACCTCGCATGTAGAATACTAGTCCAAGTGATTTGTATTTTAAACGGATTATGAACGACGTGAGATATGTTATATGTATGTACATGCAAAAGAAGAAAGAAAAAAATCCTCAAAATGTGTAAGTGTATAATATAAATTTGAACACATTCTAAACTTTCCAACTCTACATTCTAAATTTGCTTTGTATAGTAGTACTCGAAAAAATGCATAAATTTAGTTTTTTTTTAATAATAGAAAAAATCAAGAATCAATGACTTTGAGTGTAAAAGAAGAGACTTCAAGAAAGAACAAGTTATTAAGTCATTTTCCAATTTTTCACATTAATATCTTTTCTTTCACCACTTTATACATCTTATGGGATCACTCTCAAACTTTTGGAAGTTTCTCATTGTTTATATCTACGCACTTCCTCGCATGCAATAATAGCTTGAAAATCTATGGATGCATTTTATAATTACAGAATTGAAGAAAATCGACGAAATTAATCCGTTTTTAATATTAACACACTATTTTTTTGACAGGATATAATACATAAACATATTCTTTAATTTGATCTCAGTTTACATCTATACAATCAAATTTTGAATGTGCACAAGTAAACATTTAAATTTGATAAAATTAAACAAGGTAACACAATAAATCGTACATGACAATTCGCGTGAGATACACGTCGTACATGACACAAGGGAACGAATGGAGTGTATCTTATATGGGATCACTCTCAAACGTTTGGAAGCTTCTGAATGTTTATATGTACGCACTTTCTCCTTAGTTTGGAATGACTAGTCAATTTGTTCCTCATAACACATGGTGGGTTTGAAGATTCCAATAATTAGCAAAATGAAAAATGAAAAATGACAAAAGAAATCACACATATTTTGCCAAGAAAACTAGTAAACACTAACAGGGTGACTGACTTTTGTGAATGATTATTATTATTATATATGTATATATATCCATTTAGGTCCCTCAAATTCAACAAAGTGCCTCTATCTTTTCAGTACAAATTCCCAAAAAACATCCCTATTATATGTCCACAGTGTCTTCCTATCTCTCTTTAGCCACTTTAGGGTCTTAGGGACTTAGCAACATGTGAAATTAGAACATGCCTTGCCTATAGATCTAGACAACTTGCAGTTTAAGTGGATGGCCAGCAGATAAACACAAAACCTAAGGAAAAAAATACTTAACTAAATACTTGTTCCCTAATTAAATAATTTATTATTACTATCTTTTTGGCCGATGTAAAAAATTGGTTCGACGAATGGCTAAGATTATCCTATGCAAGCATCAATAACTCATATATTCTACAACTCAAAATCATGGTTTGCATCGTCCAGGGAGGGACGTACTGCACCCAACGAGGTTAATGTAGACAATTTATATATCTTAGCTTGATGTAAGAATTTGTACACAGTTATTCTCCAACTCAAACTCGTGAGTCGTAATCCTATAGGTTATACTGATGCAACTTTATTATTGCTTCAAGACTCCCCTTACGGATATTATTTTCTATATGTTATTGTATTTACTATCAAGTTAATTATTAAAAAATGCAAGAATCTTAATGGAGTGGTTAGAAGTCAGATGTTGATTTGGCCAACCATTCACTAAGAGAAGATATTGCAGAAGGTGTTCCCTTGTCGTCCCAAAATATGCGGACTTGTTCACCATTTCCCTTTTCTCATCTCATCCACATACAATACAATTGTTAATTAATTCACTAATGGACACTATAAGTCTATAATAATGCAAATATTTTATATATATTAATCAATATAATTTATAGTGATAATATATTACTTATTACTCCATCCTCCGGATAATAATAGTACTTAATAGATTTAATTTTAGTCACAACTACCAATACCAACTCTTTTGCTAGTATCAACAGATTTAATACCAGTATATATAAACATTTAATTTTCATATTCACTTGCTTATATGTGCATGTATATTTAAAAAATATTCCCTTAATTCCTATAACAAAAATATATAAGTAGATCTATTTTTAGTTATTATGAAATTTCATACAAAATAGTTATATCTAGAGCCGAGTCTATAGAAATTTGGTTGATCCTAATATAATATTTCTCACTCTAGACACGATATTTGATATTTGTGATTTCTTATGCATATATACATCATAAAAATTGTCATATTATGATATTTCAATATGCTAATATATAAAAAACAATCGAACTCAATGATTTGAGTAAATAATTGAATTCTCGTTTAGCATATACTAACATTTACTTAACAAAACATTATTAGATACAAGTTGGATTGAAATAAGTCTAGATCTAACATAAATTGAGTTGACCCTTAATATATTACTATATTGACTTACATTGGGCTTGATGTCTATTGGAAGTCAACCTTCATAAATTAGGGGGTAATACTGCTACTATAAAAACTTTCGAGGATCTTTACCAAATACCTAAAGTTTAGGGGGCAAATTGAAATTTCCCCTTTCGTGAATTATCCCAATTTTAAATCCCCCACTATTATTGTACCCAAATGTTCATTTGTTTAAATTACAGTCCCTGTTTTGTAAATTACCCATCGTTTAGGGTTCTAGGGTTTAAACTAACAGAGAACTGAAGCTTATAGTGTAACTTCCTTCTCTACTGCTTCATCTAATGCTTAAAGATTGAATTTTTAGCAGCAAAAAACAACAAAAATGTCGATTGAAAAAGCGGTTGATGAGGATTTGAAGCAAAATCATAATAGTAGATTAACTTATGAAGGTTGCAATGTATTGCTTGACATCAATGATGGCGACCGTTTAGTTTTTTCTCGTCTTACTGCTGCCTCGTAAGTAATTACATCCGATTTTTTTGCCTCTGTCTGCTGCATTTAGTTTTGTAATTGAGATATAGTTGATTGATTTTAGTGCAAAAAGATGCAGTTTTTTAACTGGATTATGGATTTTTGAACTGATGGAGAAGTTGTGTTGTGCATCCAGGACATTGAAAATTGGGAATAAGAAGTGTTCTCTTCAGCCTCTTATAGGTTGTCCATTCGGGTCTCTGTTTCAAGTGGAGTCGGGAAAAGAAGGAACCTTTTTGACTCGTTTTGTTGAGAATGCAGAAGGTATTCTTCTGAAATACTGTTATCTCTGTTCTTTAACTTGTTATTATTACTAAGCTTATTCAACTTGGGGCGGTAGTCATTTACCGGGAGCCGAGTACTTAGTTTTTGAAGTAGTCAATAACTAAAAAGGGCTGCCCGATACACTAAGCTCTTGCTATGTGCGGATCCCGGGAAGGGTCGGACCATAAGGGTGTATTGTACGCATCCTTATCACATCTTGAACCCTTGAGGTCACATTCAACAACTTTACTAATTAAATCACGACTCCCCTTCGAAGTAGCCAATCACTATTTTGAAGAAAAAAAATGGTGACAGACTGACTATTAAATGTGCAATGTAATTATATAACATTACAGATAATAGGGCTAATCAGCCTATTATGTTTAATGTTATATAATTATAATATCTATAATATCTATAATTATAATATCTGAAAG